AAGGAGAGACCCACCCCCCCTACCACGAAGAAACCTCCTCCTACCCAACATCCAGAACCCAGGAAAAGGCCAAACCCCAACCCTTCACAACCTCAATAAAGAAGAGGCCTAACCCTAACCCTAAGCCTACTCCATCCCACCCCCACCTCTAATCCTCAACAAAAACAAGAAAAAGAGACCTACTATTACCCCTATTACTATTATACTCCTAACCCTCCCCCTAACCCTACCTCCACCCCGACCCCAACTAGCTCCAATGACCTACCCCTAGCCCTAAACAAACACAATAAAGAGGAGACCTACCCCGACCCCTACACCAAACCCCCCCCCCCCCCCCCCCAAAAAAAAAAAAACCACAATATAGAAAAGACCTAACCGTACCCCCTACCCCCATCCCAACCCAACCCCTAACCTTCATCAAACACAAGGAAAGACCTATCCCCCTAGCCCTAGGCCTACCCCGGGCCAAACCCTAACGCTACCCATACCTTATCCCAACCCCTACCCATACCCCTGTCCCAACCCCTACCCCAGACCCTACCCACACCCCTACCCCTATTCCTAAGCCCAACCCTAACCCTAACAACTCTCTATTTTTATCCCTTTCATATTGGTTGCTCGTTGCGGAATTCCTCCTCCTTAATAATAATACAATGTATTTTGCTGGAATTAATCGCGGTGAGAATTTGGTTAGAAACCGAAGAAAACCTGGCAACTCTGCGCTCCTAAACAACGGAAGTAGATAAAGTCTGCGTGATCAACAATGGCTGCGCCTTGATTCAAGTCTACTAATCCCCGACTCAGACCTACAAAACTTTAAACTGGGCCTAAAAATGCGCAAACTACCGTAATTTTCTCATGAACAGATGGTATAACAGTGGCTTTCGGTCTCCCATCAGGATTTTGGAAGCCATTGTGTGTGAGTATAATCTAGATTTGATAGTGGTTGCTCGTTACGGAAGTCCTCCCCTTATATATACGGAAGTCTCCGGTTTTGGCCAGTAGAGTACTGAAATAAACGAAGTGAATATTCGGACTCGAGTCCGAATATGAAAAAAAAATGTTATTCGGACTCTGATTCTTGTCCAGCATGACATCACTTCCGACTTCCTGTGACTCGTGACTCTGGCTTCCTGTCCTGCCTCACTCGTGACTCGCCTCAGGCTGGGTAGAGACCGGGATCACTTCGGGCAAAATGGCGTTAAATTGTGCCGGAGCCGAGTTTTTATCTTATATATGATGAATTTGAGGCCGGCCTGAAAAGTTAGAGCACTTCTAATAAATGTTTATTTGTCAAGAGGTCATCAGAAGCAATTAAAGATGGCTCGTTAGCGTGTATCGGGGTCGGATGGGCGGCCTGCACACGTGTGGCTGTGTGTGCGTGTCGGGGAGGGGGGGGTGGGGCGCTATCGGTCCGGACGTTGAACGTCGCATACGCATCAGCCCCCCCCCGGCAACTGATCATTATTACAATAATAAGCTAGTCTTGACGTAGATCTACGTAATGAATTGTGCGCTGGTCTATGGAATCAAAAGTTGCTGTATGCTCGGCTCTACACAGCAACACAACTTTTTCTTGGTAAACAATCGAGATGACACAGGCTTGTGTATTTTAACGAATTGGTCTTTTTTTTTTACACAGCTCATAATATGCACGTGCCTGGAGATCTGCTAATCTTCAATTTTACCTTTTTCTACAACAAAGAAAGTGGGAAACATGGGGGGTGGGGGGGGGGGGCGTATCAATGAGGCGGCGGGCATCGGATCAGCAGACAAGGTGTGGGGGAAACTAAAAAATGGCGGAAAATTGGAAGCACTGAACGTTAGATCTATAGAACGAAGACACTTCCTTTTTTCCGGATCCGTGTCCGAATAACATTTTTTCTTATTTGGACTCGAGTCCGAATATGAAAAAATGTTATTCGGACTCGAATGACGGCCGAAATAAATACTTATTGTAACGGCCATGCCATAGGGTAGGGACTGCCTCGTGTCGTTACACAGAGTGAAAGACTAGAATCTAGAAAAAGTGTGAATAATTTATGGAAGTGGCTATTCTCACCCAGGGTGAGAATAAAAATACGATCGACCTCTCACCCCGGGTGAGACTTGCCACCGTAGGCTATTCTCTCCCGGTGTGAAACAAGACCTGTTTTTCCTAATTTCGGAATACTTTCTATCGGTGTGGATGATCAAATGGATAAAAGTAAAGAAAAAATTACGTATAGCACAAAAGTAAGCTAATTTGATTGTGTACAAAGATGCTATGGCTATTTCACTTTTCGAATCGAGCCGAACTACGCGAGTCGCCATTTTGTTTTGCCCGGAAGTTCTCGCAAGATCTACTCCTCCCCTCTTCTCTCTCTCTGTCTCTTTCTGAATGCTGTCTATCGGTGTGGACAATCAAATTGACCAAAACAAAATTTGAAAAATATGTTAAAACACAAAAGTAAATTAATTTGGTCGTCTACAAAGATGCTATGGCTATTTCACTTTTCTAATCGCGCCGAACTGCGCAGGTCGCCATTTTGTTTTACCCGGAAGTTCTCGCATTACTCCTCTCTCTCTCTCTCTCTCTCTCTCTCTCTCTCTCTCTCTCTCTCTCTCTCTCTCTCTCTCTCTCTCTCTCTCTCTCTCTCTCTCTCTCTCTCTCCAGTGCCCACAGACAAACTTGTACATTTTTAGTTTTAGGCTAACAGTAGTAATGGAACATTTGTTCAGGGCACAGAATTCTACAATTTTTCTATTATCACAATGTAGAATTCTGTGATTCAGGGTGAACGCAAAATTGGTTGGCCTAGATCTAGGAATCTAGGCTATAGCGGTGAACGCACACTGGGTGAGAATAGCCAAAAACTGGCCTGCGCTATTCTCACCCGGGGTGAGAATAGAGGTGGCCATAATTTATAACGAAGTGACTATTTAGCAATGACCACGAAAAACCTTTTTTTGTCAGAAAGGTATTATTGATCCTTAACTCACTGGAGATGGACGGAAATTTCAGGGCACAAATAGGTGCATTTTGTAGCTGTATCTCCACAGAGAAAGGAATTTTTTGAATTTTTGAAATCCATCAATAAACCAAAAAGTTACAAATTTTTTAATCAATTAATTTTTTATAGACTTTTATATGATGAAAAAACCCCAAAATATGGGACGTTCTTTCGTGAGTTTTGAGACAATATTCGTCATAACTCATTCATTTCTCGGAGTATTTAAATGAAACTTGGCAGCCCAGTACATGTGCTAGTGCAGAATCTAGTCCTGCTTTCAGATTTCTCATAGCTATCCAACTTTTTGAGTTATGAAGACGTTTATAATTGGTAAAAATGTGGCAGTTTTCGGTGTGTTTTGAGACAATATTTGTCTTAGCTCGCCTATTTCTTGGAGTATGTGAATGAAACTTGGCAGTCTAGTACAGTTTTTAATGCAGAATCTAGTCATGCTGTCAGATTTTTAATATATATCCTACTTTTTGAGTTGTAAAGACATTTACAGGTAAAAAAAAAAGTGGCGTTCTTTACAGATTTACAAAGATTATCAGTCATATATCTTCTCCCAAAGTCATGATATTTGAATGAAACTTGGCAATGGATCAATTCGTCACAAAAATTTAAGTAGAGAGCTGGATTTATTAGTCTAATAAATCCAGTTCTCTACTAGTAAAAGCATGCACACTTTGTAATAGAAAATAAGACTGTCTCTATATATCTGTCCCCGTAGAATTATGCAAATTTAGAAGGCCAAATTATGCACAAAAAAAGCAAAATTATGCAAGGTAGCGTAACTTTGAAAAAGTTTGGCAAAAGGAGGAAATACCATCAGACTGGAAGGAAGGCCACCTAATCAAGCTGCCAAAGAAAGGAGACCTCAGCAACTGTAACAACTACAGAGGCATTACACTCCTTTTCATACCTGGGAAAGGATACTCCTGGAGAGAATCAAGCTGGCAACGGATGAGAAGCTTCGAGGAAACCAGGCAGGATTCCGCAAAAAGCG